GCTATGGAAATCGACTGGATGGAAGTTTGGACGCAAACTTCCGTACCTGTTCCCCTATTTAGGAAAACAGGAGGAAATGGTACTCGACACACTTGTGTGTCGGTGCCTTTCCTTCTGTTTTCCTCTAAGGCTACCCTATAGGTTGCAGGTAGGCCTCCAAACTTTGTAAGGGGTTCTTTAACTTGAACTTTGGCCTCCACCCACTAGAATGGACCCCCAACTTTTGCTGTTTTGATGTCTTGTTTGTCTTGTGCTTCTTGTCACCTACTAGCGATGGCCCCCAACCTGTCTTCGACGGCGTCTAACCTAAGAGCGAAGACCTCCAACTTTGACCGCTTTGCTGTCTTGTGGTTTCATGTCTCCAACCTACTAGTGATGGCCCCTCAACCTGCCTTCGACGGCCTCCAACCTAAGTGCGAAGACCTCCAACTTTGACCGCTTTGCTGTCTTGTGGTTTCTTGTCTCCAACCTACTAGCGATGGCCTCTCAAACTGCTTTCGATGGCCTCTAACCTAAGAGCTATGGCCTCCAACTTTTGCACCTTGTTTTACTCAGGTTTTTTTAACCTAGGCTGGCGTGTGGCACCGCATTCAGTTCCGTACACCATATCTCAAGTATCTCAAGTGTGTGTGTGTGCGTGTGTCCACCTCTGTAACTAAGAGTGTCAACTTGTCATATCAGGGGGACGGGACACCACTGGCATTTCCCGTCCAACGAAGAGGATGCCAGTAGGTGTTGATGCAGTGGGGGACGCCCCACTGTGTACCTGCGATGCAACTTTTGATTAAGCTGTGACTCCAGTCCTTCTTTGGTTGTTTCCATGGTCCTTTCATGCTATTCCCCAAAACCTTTTACCTCAGGCGCTTTCCCCTGACCTTGAGTTTGCCGCTGCAGTCGTGCGATTGGAACAATGTTTGTTAAAACACCTTCAAATGATCGGACTCTTCACCTTGCCGTTACGCCATTCCTTTTCTCCTGGGAATTTAGTTAACTGAAAACCAACGTCAGAGTGTGAACCGCTCAGTCGTCCCACTTGGGCGCTGGGTGTGATCTCCCGCAAGGGAGCGCTGTCCTCATTCTGGATTACCACTAACTGACCTTCTTCCGTTCTGCACACGTTGGATTCTCTTAACGGACTTTGTTTCACCACTGGATGCCCAAAACACCACGCCGTCGGGCCCACGACAATACTTCCACTTGCGCATTCATTAGTTTGAAGTTGCGCTTGAGTTCGACATGTCCATTTGCGACTCACTTTCCACGCCGCCATGCTTTCGGCCATGTATATGTGTCACACATGCAACTCACCTTCCACGCCGCCGGGCTTACGGCCATGTATATGTGTCACACATGCACCTCCACGCACCCCCCCCAACCTTGCAACCGAATTCATGTTTCTATCCCACCCGCTATCTAGGGTTACAGAAGGAAATGGTACTCGACACACTTGTGCGTCGGTACCTTTCCTTCTGTTTCTCCTTTTCTACTCCTAGCTACCCGGGCGGTTGAAGACGAATGTCCCGCTTGCTAACTAGTGCATTTAATTTATTCGTCTAAGTTCCAAAATTAGTCCAGACCCCACGATTGAAAAATTGGCACTGAATAATGCTTGGTTTTTTTGGGACCTCAAATGTTTATATTGGAAACCTAATTAATAAAGGTTTGAATTCCTTCTGAACCCTGTCCACCTGATTATGATTCATTAGCTGATATAGCTTTCTCTAGGTTTCTTCAAAACTGACAGCTGACCAAACCACCAATTCCTAATTAAACCCTTTATAAAACATTGCTCCTAAACAAATTTTCAAGGTAGTAGACCAGGAAGGCGCCTGATCCTCAATAATAGATTTGTTTTTGGGTTCTCAATTGTGAAAAAAATTCCACTTGAAAAATCTGCTCATGGAATCTTCCTTTCCTTGAGAAAGGAAGCTGAATACAATCTATGAAAGGAAAATGAATAATTACTACAATCAATTACAAAAAGGAATTCTCACAGGAATCCAGATTTGTTTCGGTGGTAATTCATTATAGGGGTCACCTATTTGTTTGAGGGAGGGGGGGGGGCGGGGGGGGACCGGGACCCCCGTTTACTAATCAGGATCCAACATTAGTAAGTTCCTCCAGAGCGCCGATATCGGCACTCTGTGTGTGTCCACCTCTGTAACTAAGAGTTTCAACTTGTCATAGCAGGGGGACGGGAAAACACTGGCATTTCCCGTCCAACGAAGAGGATGCCAGTAGGTGCTGATGCAGTGGGGGACGCCCCACTGTGTACCTGCGATGCAACTTTTGATTAAGCTGCGACTCCAGTCCTTCTTTGGTTGTTTCCATGGTCCTTTCATGCTATTCCCCAAAACCTTTTCCCTCAAGTGCTTTCCGCTGACTTTGAGTTTGCTGCTGCAGCCGTGCGATTGGAACAATGTTTGTTAAAACACCCTCAAATGATCGGACTCTTCACCTTGCTGTTACGCCATTCCTTTTCTCCTGGGAACTGAGTTAACTGAAAACCAATGTCAGAGTGTGTGTAACCTTTGGAGTCACAAGGTTCCTTTTGGAATGATTCCCTTTACAGCAGGGGGCGTGACGGTCGATTTCCTAGTCACGCCAATGAAGCTATGGAAATCGACTGGATGGAAGTTTGGACGCAAACTTTCGTACCTGCTGGTTAAACTTTTAAACTTTTGAACAGCTGCTCGCTGTCACTTTTGTTTTGCTTGCGCGTACTACCACCTACCACCTACTAGCGACGGCCTCCAACCTTAGGCGCTGGCCCCCAACTTCCTTGCAATGGCCTCCAACCTAAAAGCGATTGCCTTTAACTTACTACTTGTCCTCCTGGTATCTCAGGCTTTTTAACTCAGGCCGGCGTGTGGCACCGCATTCACATCAGTATGCATTTCTATAGGTATGTCTGGCTTCATGCCAGCCCAGGGTGCCCCAAAAATTGACCCCTGTGGACCCGTCGAACGGGGGTTTGCCGAACGTATCCCATGCCCGGATACAAAGCAGCTCGCAGCGAGCGTAGGTGGCCTAGGCCAAAGTCATTTGCCAAGATTTGACGGATTATTGATTATTGAATTCCAAAAGCTGGCCGCCATTTTGGCATGCCTTTAGGTGTCCACAGCGGTCTCCGAGTGGCCCGCCATTTTGGCATGGCACAAGGTGACCAGAGCGGCCAAAGAAAGTTGAAGGTTCATTGGAACCTGTCGGGGCCTTTTGCCCCCTCTTCTCTCGCGCGTAGCGTACTTACAAGCAAACCGGGCTTTTGCAACAGGTTTTTTCAATGAGGTTTGGTCTGTCATTGGTTTGTCCCCTTTCACTTTTCTTTCATGTCTTTCTGTCTTCATGCCTCTTCATCCTCATCCTTTTCTTTCTCTTGCGCGCACTTTCGTCCGGACCTTAGCTTGTACACATACACGCACGCGTATTCTACTTACAACTAAGTTCAGGTGGCCCAGGTTTGTTACAATGAGGTTTGGCTCATCGGTTGTCCCTCTTCACTTGGTTCTTCTTCACCGGCAACCGCGCACACTTTTTGTCTGTCTCGTCTTTCTCATTTTCATCTGTCCCCTTTGCGCGCACATGTGCTTCGCGTAACCCCCTTTCCGGGCAGGATGGGGGTGCCTCCTTTCCGGGCAGGATGGAGGCCACACATACCTCCCTTCGGGTGTGTGTGTGTGTGTACCCCTTGGAATCAAAGGGAACCTTTAAGGTTTGGAACAGGGGCGTACGGCTCGTCATACCCACCGTACGCAATGAAGCTACGGTATGACGAGGGATGGGTGGACTGATCATCCACCTGTACCTGTTCCACTACTTAGGAGAACAGGAGGAATTTATACTCGACACACTTGTGCGTCGGTGCCTTTCCTTCTGTTCTCCTCTAGACCCTATAGGTTGCAAGTAGGCCTCCAAACTTTGTAAGGGGTTCTTTAACCTGAACTTTGGCCTCCACCCACTAGAACGGACCCCCAACTTTTGCTGTCTTGTTTGTCTTGTGCTTCTTGTCACCTACTAGCGATGGCCCCCAAACTGCCTTCGACGGCCTCCAACCTAAGAGCGAAGACCTCCAACTTTGACCGCTTTGCTGTCTTGTTGTTTCTTGTCTCCAACCTACTAGCGATGGCCCCTGAACCTGCCTTCGACGGCCTCCAACCTAAGAGCGAAGACCTCCAACTTTGACTGCTTTGCTGTCTTGTAGTTTCTTGTCGCCAACCTCCTAGCGATGGCCTCTCAACCTGCCTTCGATGGCCTCTAACCTAAGAGCGATGACCTCCAACTTTTGCACCTTGTTTTACTCAGGCCTTTTTTAACCTGGGTTGGCGTGTGGCGCCGCTTTCAGTTCAGTACACCCTATCCTAAGTGTGTTTGGCCTTGCGCCAACCCGGGATGAGCCCGCAGAGTGCCTCCCGTGGACCCGTCGAACGGGTGTTTGTCGAACATATCCCCTGCCTGAATACAGAGCAGCTCGCAGCGAGCGTAGGTGGCTTATGCCTCAAGAATTGGGATGTGTGTCTCATCTTTGGAAATCCAAGCTGGCTCATGCCTTTACGTGACCGCAGCGGTCAAAGGTGGCTTAACGCCTCAACGTGGTCAGAGCGACCGAAGTACTTTTGAGGTTCATTGGAACCTGTCGAGCACTTAGCTCCCCCTCCTCCCCCTCCCTCCCCCTTTCTTTCTTTGCTTTCTGGGGTGTTCCTGAATGGAATGCTCAGGATCACCCCTCTCCTTCTTTGGTGTGTCCCTGGACGATTGTTCGTAGCTGGGAACACCTTCCTTTCCTCTCCCTTTCTCTCCCCCTCTCTTTCTTTCCTTCTCTCTTTCCTCTTTTCACCCTCTTCCCTGGGTGTCCCTGGATGCTTCGTCATAGCTGGGAGCCCTTCCTTTTTGGTGTGTCCCTGGACGCATGTGTCGTAGCTGGGAGCACCTTTGTTTCCTTCTTTCTTTCCCTCTCTTTTCTTCCTTCCCCTGCCCCCTCTTTCCTCGCGCGCGGCGTGTTTACAAGCAAACTAGGCTTCTGCAACAGGTTTTTCTAGTGAGGTTTGGTTCGTCATCGGTTTGTCCCCGTTCATTTGGTTCCCCTTTCATCGGCCCGCACAGACGGTTTTTTTCACCTCTTTTCTTTCATGTCTTTCATGTCTTTCTGTCTTCATGTCTCTTCAATCCTTTCTTTCTCTTGCGCGTACTATCGTCCGGACCTTAGTTTGCACACGTACACGCACGCGTACTCCACTTACAACGAGGTTCAGGTGGCCCAGGTTCGTTACAATGAGGTTTGGTTCATCGGTTGTCCCTCTTCACTTGGTTCTTCTTCATCGGCAACCACACACACTTTTGTCTGTCTCGTCCTTTTCATCTTCATCTGTCCCTTTTGCGCGCACATGTGCCTTGCCTCCTTTCCGGGCAGGATGGAGGCCACACACGCCTCCCTTCGGGGAGGCGTGTGTGTGCACCCCTTGGAATCAAAGGGAACCTTTAAGGTTTGGAACAGGGGCGTACGGCTCGTCATACCCACCGTACGCAATGAAGCTACGGTATGACGAGGGATGGGTGGACTGATCATCCACCTGTACCTTTTCCACTACTTAGGAGAACAGGAGGAAATGGTACTCGACACACTTGTGTGTCGGTGCCTTTTCTTCTGTTCTCCTCTAGACTACCTTATAAATAGGTTGCAGGTAGGCCTCCAAACTTTGTAAGAGGTTCTTTAACCTGAACTTTGGCCTCCACCCACTAGAATGGACCCCCAACTTTTGCTGTCTTGTTTGTTTTGTGCTTCTTGTCACCTACTAGCGATGGCCCCCAACCTGCCTTCGACGGCCTCCAACCTAAGAGCGAAGACCTCCAACTTTGACCGCTTTGCTGTCTTGTTGTTTCTTGTCTCCAACCTACTAGCGATGGCCCCTCAACCTGCCTTCGACGGCCTCCAACCTAAGAGCGAAGACCTCCAACTTTGACTGCTTTGCTGTCTTGTAGTTTCTTGTCACCAACCTCCTAGCGATGGCCTCTCAACCTGCCTTCGATGGCCTCTAACCTAAGAGCGATGACCTCCAACTTTTGCACCTTGTTTTACTCAGGCCTTTTTTAACCTAGGTTGGCGTGTGGCAACGCTTTCAGTTCAGTACACCCTATCCTAAGTGTGTAACCTTTGGAGTCACAAGGTTCCTTTTGGAATGTCTCCCTTTACAGCAGGGGGCGTGACGGTCGATTTCCTAGTCACGCCAATGAAGCTATGGAAATCGACTGGATGGAAGTTTGGACGCAAACTTCCGTACCTGCTGGTTAAACTTTTAAACTTTCGAACAGCTGCTCGCTGTCACTTTTGCTTTGCCTGTTTGCTTGCGCGTACTACCACCTGCTAGCGACGGCCTCCAACCTTAGGCGTTGGCCTCCAACTTCCTTGCGATGGCCTCCAACC